TACCATTTGAAATAAATAAATAGTCCTTCGCCTGTTTTGTTACGTCATTTGCCCTAAATTTGCCATCGCAAGTCTAAGTCAGCCTCAATTTCTACCAACACTTATAATTCCTAATTCAAAAGTGTCAACCTCCAGCGGCTTGTTTCGCGTCATGTCTGACAAAGAAGATTTGTGGACACGTGAGTGGTCGGCTGCCACTGTGTCCGCTTTAAGACGTGCCACCGCGAACTTACCGGTGCATAAATAAACCGATTTGGTGCGCAGGTTTTTTTTGCTTGCGAAATTATGTCTAATTAATTACAGGTGGAAGCACATGACCTCCGGAGATCTCGTGAAACGCATTTTACTTCATAATGAGGAATTGGAGAGCAGCTCGCTTCAAACTCAAGTTCAAAATAGGCCTTCAAAATTCAAATAAAATTGATGATCTGCCCAAAAAAAGCGTTGCAGTAGAGTAGAGCCAAAGAGGGGGGGGTGGTAAGAAGTGGCGTAATTTAGTAAAGTGGAAATGATTAGAATTGAAAGAGAATTGGAATTTGGCACATTTTACAAATGTCTTAGCCCTTTTAGAGTTTATAGCGGTTCGCTAACTAATAAGCCCTGACTAAAACCCCAGTAATCTCTATGGCAGATTCACCTGATTTAGAATGGCCCTCTGGTTTAGCAAAACTACTGCAGAGCTGTGGAGAAAACAGTCACATGGCATGAAATATGTTTATTCGGGTGATGTCATGTTGGAGTTATGTTATCGGTCATGTCCTGTCCGTTAGTTTGGCTGTTGAGGGTGCGCCGGATTCTGTGTCTGGGATGTGTATTGACTGACAAGGGGCTTAGTCATTACGCACACTTTTGGGTAAGTGATGACAACGCAATGACTTTGGTCGAGAGGTCTTGACACTCCTGATCTCATTTTCTCCCTGCCGTGGTTGGACGAGTTTGCGTATCGTTATGTACCACCCCCCACCCCCGATTAGGCAATCTTTAACGCGCAAAAATTTTCCCTTTTTTAATCCTTACTATTTTTGATATTTCATTTAATTTGATTTGTGTTTTTGTGACTTGATTAAATTTCTTGTCCAGTGTCATCATTTTTACCTTACTTCTTGTTAAAAAAATGCACAAAGACTTCTTTTAGACCATTCTGTGTTTGACTATCAAGTTAACATATGAGTGCAAAATTATTATCTGCGTTATGAATTATTAACCACGGGTAAAGTGCGTGATAAAGAACGCAAATTTGTTATTGCAAAAAAATAATTAGGTAGGATTTATAATAAGAAGCACATGAATGCACATGAAGCGTAGAGAGAGAGATTATTGCGAAGCGATTTTCATGTAAACTCTGTTTTTGATTAATCTTGCCAGTCGGTAGATATAAGCAACTGCGTATTAGCCGACACTGCGGTCAAAAAAAATACGGTCACACATGATTGATCGACTCTCCCAGAATCTATTTTTACCCCCATACCGTGTGTTCGTAATTTAGCTGGCTTCACCCCCCACCCCCACCCCCACCCCCCACTCAAAGTCCTCTTAGCGCGGTGACCTTGAGTATTCATTTGGAGAGGAGCTTTCTAGAACACAACGCCTTGTGGATGATGAAATAAAAGTAAGTGGTGGGGGGGGGGGTTAAGTTGATTTACTAAATTAAGCTTTACTGCTCCCCGCCCCCATCCCCCCCCCATTCATTAGATTATGAGTAGCGATTTCAAAGCGTTAATCTAATGGGCGTTAACCCATTAGGATTAGGATGCTGTCCCAATAAATATTCGCATTCGGGCATTTGGAAAAATATTTTGACAAAATATGCTCCTGTTCATATTTTCATACATTCACTATGATTGGCACTAAAATGACCGGGTAATGCTTCTAAATATTTTGTCAGGTCAAAAAATGTGTCCTCCGAATTGGCAACACTGCACTCAGTGATCCAGTGCTGTGCTCGCGACATGGCTCCCGCGACAACTTTGACATGCCCTTTGCCTTTATAATTTTGCGCTCATACTGGAATCTGCCCGAAGCTTCTTCAACAATGATTTCCACCATTTTTATCAAACTAGCAATGCCTGGTCTTTCAACAACTAATGAGAATATAACACCAACTTCTAAACCCTCAACCATTTCAACTTCAATCGTTCACATCATCTTGCCATGCTCTGCATCGAGTTCCTCCTCTCCAGATTCGCCATTCTTCTGTGTTTTGGGCTATTGTTCAATTCAGTTTCGAAGTTAATTGGAATCAGCACCACTGTTTGCTCTACCATTGCAGAGGGGGATTTTTGTTTGACCTCACTATACTATTTTACAATCTAGATTCAAGTAGTGCAAACCTCCTTGAATTACAGATAAGATGTACCTAGTACCGATCTTTTCCATGAGACATAAATTCCTTTGCACTTCCAACATTTTTATCTAGAACTTCAAAAATTTCTATGATCTAACAAAATGGAATAATGATTCACAGAGCAGGGTTATGGTAGTTTGAAATCAGAAGTCAACTGCTGGTTTATAGATCTTTTTGTCATAAGAGTATACGTTGCCCAGGGTGTATCACGTGGAGTTAAGTCTATCGCACACCCTGTAATGAAATCATAAAATTTTGCATATATTCTAAGGAAAATTGCTTTCCATTAGCAGTTCCAAGTGAGTTATTGCATTGACAACTAGTTACATCTGGAATATCCAATGTGATAATGAAATTCTTTCTGGAAATATTTTGAAAAAAACATTCTGAGAAAAATGGCTTCTTTTAGTACTGTCATTTTATGATTCTGCTCAGACTTCAAACAGTCGAGACGGATTTTATTATTGTCTGATTAATAAAATCTCTCATTAATTATCCGCGTTCCCACGGGTGCATAGGATTTTTAAAGAAATTTATTTATTTATATCAAATGGCAGGCGTTTTGATAGTTATCATTAGCCCTGGAGCCGACTTCGGGGCTTCACAGAGAGGAGAAGGAACATCAAAATGACAAAAAGTCGAGAGGGTGAATAGAAGAGTGATTCACAGATGTAAAAGAGACAGACAGACACAAAGGCATAGAAAAGGTAAGATGAGTACTGTGGAAGGGGTCGAATATGACAAATAGTCGGGCCATAGTAGTTTGAAGTCAGAAGTCAACTGCCGATCACTGGACCTTTTTGCCGTATGAGTATAGGTTGCCCAGGGTGCACCACGTGGAGGCAAGTGCGCAGTATCATCGATTTAAAATACCACGCAACGTAATTTTAATTGGATCACAAGATACCCACAACTCTTAATTAAAAAAATTACCTTTTATTCATTATAATTGAACCGCCTAATTTAACCCATTTTGGTGGGGACGAATTTACGCATTCATTGCAGTGTGCATTTGCTGGGAAATGGCATTGCTGTTAATTTGAAATCATTATATTGAAGCCAGAGCATTGCGATGATTATCAAGTTGTCTTCAAATGCTGCGCTGTCGGTAGAGGCAATGCTGACAACCTTGAACCTCACCCATTCAGACTTCACAGAGGGCGGGGGAGGAACATCAAAGTGAAAAAAGTTGGGAGGGGAGGTCGGGGGACAGAGGAGTGTTTCAAAGGTGTAAAAGAGACAGAGAGACACAAAGGTAGAAAAGAAGGTGAGGTGAGAACTGCAGAAGTAGTCGAATATGACATTCAGTGGGGTGATGGTAGTTTGAAGTGAGAAGTCAACTGCCACAATGGGGTCATGGTAGTTTGAAGTTAGAAGTCAACTGCCTTTAATAGACTTTTTTGCCGTATGAATATACGTTGCCCAGGTAATAGACTTTTTTTCCCGTATTAGTATACGTTGCCCACGTGGAGGTAAGTCTATCGCACACTCCTTATCTGGGAATTATTTGCCCTTTTTAATTGTGTCTCCAATTGAGTTACCACGCATTTCGCGATCCCACTTGGTTGACACAGATGCCATTGTTTTTGGCTCTTCCCTTGTTTGCTTATTTTTTTATGGAGCGTTACTGTCTTTAAATAAAGCCTTATTTCCTCTTCTCCGATATGCGAATTTGTACACAGTTCCCTCATTCAAGGCAAGGCCATAATAAGTCGTAAGCCTGTGACCTTAAACTTCGACAGCTTACCAAAAAGTGGGTCATTCGGAATTTGTTCTTCTGTTGATTAGATGTTCTGACAGCTTTGAAAACGTTATTTTTTCAAATAAATAACAAAATTAATTGTGTGTGTGCTTTATGAGTTATTTGGCATTTTTGGTTGTAGGAAACGGAACACCATTCTCTGATTAAAAAAGAAGAATTGGAAACACCGGGCCTATTCGTTGATGAGTCTACAGCCCACTCCGAAGTCGTAGGTTCGATATTTATTTGCTTTATGTTGGTATCTAGTAATGGCATTATTCGTGACACGACAAAGAGCATTTGAAGAAAGGGCGAAAGTGGTTAGCGAAATGCAGTGATTGCAATTGGGACCTCAACAGTCCTTCTTTCTTGAATCCCAAATGTGGGGATTTGCCCATTTTCTTGTGAGGTATATGGGCCACGACATCTTTTCCATGTGGCAAAATTCAACTCTCATTATTGGTACCCTGAGCTAAGAGACGTGTTCATGCCCGCGCCATTCAAAGCCTACTGAAAAGCTTAATTATTTGAGTGCCTAATTATGCCATCCTGAAACATTGTCTTTAAAATACAATCTATTCATACTTGGTTCATGTGATAGCGCAGTTGCTTTTCCTCGTGGAAAAGCAACTGAATTTAGCCAATAGTATTTATTTATTTATTTCAAATGGCAGGCATTATGATAGGTATCATTAGCCCTTTAGTTGACGTCGGGCTACACAGAGGGGAGGAGGAGGAACATCCAACTGGCAAAACGTCGAGAGGGGGAAGAATAATGATTCACAGACGTAAAAGAGACAGACGGACACAAAGGTAGAAAAAAGGTGAGGTGAATACTGTGGAATTATTCGAATATGAAATTCAATAGGGTCATGGTAGTTTGGAGTCTGAAGTCAACTGCCGGTTAATAGACTTTTTTGCCGTATGAGTATACGTTGCCCAGGGTGCACCACGTGGAGGTAAGTCTATCGCACACCCCATTTAGCCAATAGTAAAGTCT